AGAACAGTGATATTTGTCTACTGTGAACAGGGATTAATAAAATAAATATCTGTAGCTCCACACAGAGAATAACAGATAGATGGCATATCATAGTATGCAGGATAGTCATATTATTTGAGCATGGGCTCCACAGAAACTTTGGGTTTAAATCTTGGTTTGACAAGCTGTCTGCTTCTTATTAGAAGGTATTAATAGAAGTGTGATTAAATAGTTTTATAGTTAGAATGAGTAGGATTGTAGGGATTTTTTTTTGGTTGTTTTATTATTCCTCTGGAAGAGAAGGCAGGATACAAGTTTTCTTGGTTGCCAACTGAAGGATATGCTGATTTGGGAGAAAGGTTTTGTCTTTGCATTTTTAGAAAAGTTGATTAGACTCTGAACACCTTCCAGAGTTATATAGATCAGATTTGATAGAGGCAGACCCCCTGAAAACAGAGTCAAGTAAAACAAACAAAAATTATTAATTTCCATTCCTCACATAGCAGTAATGAAGACTTAAGATTGGAACAGAATTTTATCCTAACTGGTCTGACCCTACACATACTAATACAATCCATATAAATATCTTGATGATACTAAAATTTTGTTTTGAGATTTGTATATTACAGAGTGTACAACTTTGGTGAGATCATCAGACTTGTTGAACTGACCTGCTGGAACTTCCGTTCTCATGAACTTTCAGCAGGATCCAGTCAAGACATAGACATCATCAGAGACTATAACAATCGTTGATGTGGCCTTCTTAAGATCAACCAACTCCCGCATTTTCCCTATCTCCCCCCACTTCAAGATATTTCTCAATGCCCATATTCAACAGGAAGTAATTATTAAGAGTTGTTGTTCCAGTTCCCTGGGCTTGGGGGGGTGGAGGTGGTTATTCTAAGTTGTCTTTCTGGAGAATTTAGAAATGGTTGTAATTTGAGCAGGGAGGAAATAGCTAGAATTGATTTTGTCCCTAAAATCTCACTTGGTAGCAATATTTAAGTTGCAGAATTAGGGTTTCCATTGGTATAAATTTTCTATATTGTTACAAAATTTTTAAAAGAGCAAGGCTTGGACCCAGTCCTTCTATAATTCCATGACAAACTGATCTGATATGATTGAGTGTATGAGTTAAGGGCCAGATAGCAAATTCATGGCTCTGAGTTAACTGCTAGGGTATATACGACATATTTTATTTAGAAATTACTCAGAGAAGTTACTGGACAACAGTCCATATTACCTTACATAGATAAATAATTTTCAAAAATGTCAGAAAGCTACAGAATGTGACACTTAATGTTATTTACTCATTTGTTGTTGAGACATATCTGCTTCTAACAGCTCCCCATTCATGGATTCAAAGAAGAAACTGAGCATCTCTACTTCGAGGTGAGGTGGTGCTTTGTGGCAAGGTAGCCACTGGGCAGAAATTGCCTATTTCTTCTACAGACCTGTACTGTTCATGAGAGGACACAAGTTACAGGATAGAACAGCTTAGCTCTGCCAAGACATAATAAGCTAGTTCTTAATATTTCCTGTTTCAAAGGTCTGCTAGGTGATCCTGGGCCAGAAGGCTAAAAACTGATGCTCTAAATTCCTGACTTACTGGGGTTGTATAGGTAGACAGCTGTTTCTGCAATTTGTCTCAGTTCTGGAAACTGTGCTCGGCTTCCTATATTTTTAGATAATAGTGATCGTACTTGGAATTCTGACAGGATTGAAATACTAATTATAGTTTCATAGACAACCCAGGCTATTTAGCATTGAAAAAATATATTTAAGAGAATATTTTTCAGATATCATACAAGTTAAACAAGGACATAACAGATATGGATTTATAAGCCTTTTTAAAGTTAGGATAGATAACAGAGTGTTCTATTTAATTGACAAAAATGATGGATTTAGTGTTAAATATATCTCATACTTTATAAATTACAGAATGGTAATAGTTGTACTCAATTTGTATTTGAGGAAAAAAATATTTTTTTTCTTTTATTGGACAGAAAAGGTGAAATGTGTCAGAACCTTCACCTAATGAATTAAGATTTCATGGGACATATCACTAGGCAAGTATGCAGGACTTCTGGGTTGGAGAGAGGAAGAGGGGAGGCAGGAGAAAGATACTTCTTTTTGGATGGGAGAGAGCATGGAGGTACAATGTAGGTAGCAAGAGGGCCCTGGTTTAAGTGATGGATCCGCTGGGATGAGTCACTGGGGATCTGGAGGATCTGATGCCCTCTTCTGGTGTGTCAAAAGAGAGCTACAGTATACTGATATAAATAAAATAAATAATTGATCTTTAAATATATATAGATCAATTTATTAGTGAATATATATATTAGATATGTATCCTAATTTTGTAAGCTACTTAAGATATATACATATACATATACATATACATATACATATACATATACATATA